CTCAAGGTCAAGGCTGACGGGACAGAGGATAGAGGTCAGAGAGACGTGGGGGTTAGTGCCCCATCATGACAACATGATCAGTGGCTTGAAATTTGCTGTTTTCTATAAAGTAAGCCCCAAGTGCTTTAGTCGAGTTGGCTAACGGTTATATATTGAAAACGAGAGGACAGACCTTGAAATATTAGCAGGGTTATCCCTGAGGCTATGGGGGATTTGTTTATTTTTCTTTATTTTCTACATTATCTACAATAAATCCTTTTATAGAAAGGAAATAAATATTTTTAAAATTGGAAAGGGTTCAAAGCCAGCTAATAGGAAAAAGACCCCGTGCTAGGATGTAACATTTCCACTCAAGAGGCTACCAGGTCCTGCCCCTGGGATTCGGATTCCAGTAAGTGGGGCCTGCGGGGAGCTGTCTACAGTGGCCTCAGTCTGCCTGGGCCCAGGAGTCGATATTGGGCTTGAACCATGGCTCTGGCTGGGGCTCTGGGGGGTACGTGGGCTCCTGGGTTCTTTCCTTACTTCTTGCCCAGCTGGATTCACTCCTGCTTGCGAAAAGCTGACAAAAACAAGGATAACAAGATGAGCTTCAAGGAACTGCAGAACTTCCTGAAGGAGCTCAACATCCAGGTGGACGACAGCTATGCCCGGAAGATCTTCAGGGTGAGGCAGCAGGGAGCCCTGGCCGTAGGGTCCTTGGCCCTGGGCCTGGGCCAGCGCTGAGCCTGCCCACGGGGCTGTCCTGGCTTTGCAGGAATGTGACCGCTCCCAGACAGACTCCTTGGAGGACGAGGAGATTGAGGCCTTCTACAAGATGCTGACCCAGCGGAAGGAGATCGACCGCACCTTCGAGGAGGCTGCCGGCTCGGGGCAGACCCTGTCCGTGGACCAGTTAGTGACCTTCCTGCAGCACCAGCAGCGGGAGGAGGCCGCCGGGCCTGCCCTGGCCCTCTCCCTCATTGAGCGCTACGAGCCCAACGAGACTGGTGAGGGCCACACTGGGCTGGGAGACCCCTGGGGACACTGCAGCCCCAAATAGGGAGCTGCAGGAACCGGGGTGCCTCAGGACCCGGCCGGTATTTGCCGGCCCATCAAAGCAGGCAGATGGCAGACAGGGCTCGAGCATCACTACCTGCCTCAGTTCCTCCTTCAGGGGGTTTTGAGGACCCCTCTCCCAGGAGAGAGGAGAGGAGACTGGGCAAGCAAACACTGTCCCTGCTTCCCTCTTGATGCCCATCCTGGGCCCACCTTTGAGACCCGGCCCTGTCTTGGAGGGGGCTCCGGGGCGCAGGCACAGGGCCGGAGGAGGTGAAGTCCTGTCCTCAAGGCCTCCCAGTGTCGGGGACAGAACAGGAGAAGACAGGGCCCCGGAGGTGGCTGCGGGTGGAGGGCTCTGACGGGTCCCCGCCTCCCCCCCAGCCAAGGCACAGCGGCAGATGACCAAGGACGGCTTCCTCATGTACCTGCTCTCGGCCGACGGCAGCGCCTTCAACCTGGCGCACCGGCGGGTCTACCAGGACATGGGCCAGCCGCTCAGCCACTACCTGGTGTCCTCCTCGCACAACACCTACCTGCTGGAAGACCAGCTCACCGGGCCCAGCAGCACCGAAGCCTACATCCGGTGCGGCATCC